CTAGAGTAAAAACTAGGTATGTCGGGCCCCAAAGGTGCTGCTCTTCCCATCACACTAAGCTCCTGATTGGCACTGATGGGACACTCTGAGCCCTGCCTGCATAATGTCTGTGCATGCTCATCCTGGGACTTTTCCTCTTCACAATCTTCTACCAGGTGTCCTAATCCAGGGATCACAAATAACAAGAACTGTGTCAACTGTTCTCCCCCTTTGATAGCAAGTAATGAACCTGAAAATATACATTCTCTTCCTCCAGTCCTCCATCAAATTCTATTCCTGGAGTAGGAAATATTTGACAAGCTGTATGGATATAGTGACACAATGCAATAAAAATGAAATGAAGAAAACAACTTTATTTCTCACTACTTTCATCCCTTATTTGAATTGTGAATACTCGAGTTACTTCTCATACATGACCTGTCTAGAAATTCATTTTGTAGTGAAATATGCCCCTGTGTGACTTGTATTTGAAACTGCCTGGTTTACTTTCAATAGGCAGGGCTAAAGGACAGGAAAGAGAGGTTTGGAGGAAATTCTAAAGGGACTCTTAACTTTGTGTTTCTCACAACAGATGACTCTAGGAAATAAGATACCTGTCCAATCTTACCAAAGAGAGTGAGGAGAACTCTTTTGTCTGTAATATCATTAATAGTATGAATGATATGCGGAAAGTACTTATAATACAATGCAAATAAAAATCAGAATGTAAAAGTATATGCATAGTATGAATTCAAGCACAATTATCCTGCAAAGTTAAGACCAGAAGGAGGTAACTACTAAACAAAGAATAATCAAGAACATTAAGTTACATACCACAGCAACTTTATCAATGAATATGCATAACAAAATACTAAGGAAAATATCAACGAATCATATTCATAGACTTTGAACAAGTGAGAAATGAAGATTAGAAAATTTATCAGTGGAAACCAACATGATACAAATTCAAAGAAGAAAACTAGGCATACTCATTAAAGCAAACAAAGAAAAAGCATATAAAATTTAACATGCAAATTTAGGATTAAGAAATACTTCTGAAAATAATAAATGAAGGGAACTAGCAAAGAATCTTTAGCAAAAACTTAAACATCACATTTACAGCTAACTTACAAACATTAATTTAAGGTAAGTTACCTACTATCACTCAATATACTGACTGACCCAGACAATGTAATAGAACAAGAAAAGTAATGAGCATTAATAACCAGAGAGGAAGAGATAAAGTTAATTATAGGGTTACATATTACTCCAAAGAAAAATCATAAAAGGAATTGGAGAAAGCATTATTTTAAAAGGTTAACACTACTATTATATTCAAGATTCAAGATCAGCAAGCAAACCCTCTATTTCCTTTGAAAGTTCTATTTATTTTAGACCAGTGAGCATCATTCATTTAATGAAACACTAGTCAAACCTGAAGAACAAGAAAGAAATAAATGAATCTTGTTGCCAGGATTCTCTTTTAATGCTGCCTTTTTTTTTTTTTTTAAATAAAGATTTATTTGTTTGTACATACAGAACTGGGG